ACTATATTTGGGTAAAAATGGCCGCTCCCAGACTCTGTGATCGCGATGCAAATTATTGTTTTTATTTTTTTTACCGATTAACGCCAAATTCCTTAAATCACTGCGAATATATTAGTTTTAGGTATAGATAATGATCCATTAATTATTTGTTGCTGACCGGACTTTTCCTTTAATGATGTGTGAGTCTGTAAAACCCTAATATTTCCTGCCTGTTGCGTGTCAGAACTAATGTTTTTGCCAGTAGTTTATCTAATTAGGACAGTCCCTCTCTCTGGACATACAGTTCTCTTTATTCTGCACGTGGTAAAGCTTTGGTGAATGGAATGAGAGCGGTGACCTTCATCTAAAAACAAAGTGTAATATTTTGATATGGCTGCAGCTATGGATGCCTCCGCATCTGCTAACGTCTATGATGTAACGATGTGATGATGTGTGAGACTGAAGATGTATAAAATCTTTCTTTAATTGGTAAGCAGCTGCCTTCTGTAACTCTAATCAACTTCTCTGATCTGAGTACGATTATAATTTCTGTCCAAATCTGTTGTCATGTCTCCTGGTTATTTCACAGATTATGAAGTGTTATTTTAAAGAGTTTGTCCTGGGTGATCTCTTCTCAGAGAAAGAACCGGAAAGAGGAAGCTTGTGGAAACACAGAACTTTCTTTAACAATAGTAGTGATTTTTGGAGTTTTTAGTTCAGAATCAGCCTGAGCTATGAAGATGCTGTCAGTAAATCTTCACCTTTATCTACTTAAACAGGAGGATTTGGAGTCATCCTCAGATTCTACGTCAACCACAGATGGAAGGTCTGTTTGGTGGGTCTTACTTGTCCGGTTGATGTCCTGCAGACTCTGCTCAGCTGAATCCATGAGTCCTTCCTCTATGTCGATGTCTCTGTAGCGGTCATTGCCATGATGTCTGCTGTGGCTGTAGTGTCTGTCCCTGTCCATGTCCTGAGCCTCTCGACTGGAGCGCCGTCGCCTCCGTTTGCGCCGCAAGCCACGGGAAACTGGGACGCCTATATAGACGGATTGATGGTCTGTGAAGGAAGGAAGCATCGTTTGGGAAATTTGACACTGTTAAATTACCATCAAATATTAGATTTAATCACAAGCAAACATCAGAAATCACCTACTGAGGAAAACATAGAAAGAAGAACACATTTATTTCCAAAAAAACTTAAAAATAAAACAATCCACTGGACTTTTTTCCAAGTTTGAAGACGTTTCTCTTCCCATTCAGGAAGATTTTTTTATTTCAAAATGTCAGAAATAGCGTTGAGTTTCAGGCTTTATAGAGTGGATCAAAGCAAAGCCTTGTTTTGATTTAGAAAACATGGAAATTGAAACGGACGAACGGGTCCCCCCCTTTGGAATGGGGGTCAATTGGCTCCTTTTGTTAGCCTGCAATGCCCCATACCTGTCTATGTCTCTAAAGGAGAGGTCATTTAAAGGGAATTGTTGGCCTGGTTGAATAGGCGAGGTCTTTTGAAAGCTGAAACTTGAGTCCCCCCCTCTGTTTTTAATATTGTCTTTTCTTTCTTAACATATATGGCTTCCTTCATCCCCCTCTCAAACTTCTTTGTCCAAACTGCGAACATTCTGGTCCTCAAAAGAACGCCTTTGTCCAGAAGGTGTAGATGTACTGCTGAGTCTTGTCCAGAGGAGGGCGCTCTTCTGTGTTGAGAGGTTGTTTGGTTTCTCCAATATAAAGATCAGAGCATTCCTCACTTCTTTCCAAGTTCAGTTCAGAGCTACAGGTCCAGACTTTGACTTCGTCCAAGACTTTCTATTCCTTATTTCTCAGTTAGTCCGTTTAATCTAAAAACTTAACATTTGGTAAAGTAGGGGCAATTTTTAGCCATATCAAAAATTCTAAAATTTTAGAA